AGTGAATTTAATTTTAGTTTTAAGATATATATTTTATTTTGTAACTCAGAGTAATCGTACTTTTTTCTACCTCAAAACGTGAGTTCAGTGGAAGAGCTTCTGTGTAGCAATGGAGATTCCTTATGTTGTTCTCTTTGTCTGTAGCTGTTGATCCAGAAATCATAGCTCGCGGTACTGTTGGATTTTCTGGAGCCGAGTTGGAGAATCTTGTGAACCAAGCTGCATTAAAGGCAGCTGTTGATGGAAAAGAAATGGTTACCATGAAGGAACTAGAGTTTTCTAAGGATAAAATTCTAATGGGTATGTCTTCCTTCTCATTCTCTTGTTCTTCAGGTCATCTTTTTCTTTCTTTTCACCCTGCCCTATTTTATTTTATTTTATCTTTTTGAAGACTGACTGTCACACTGTAATCCACACTGGTCAGCTGGCCCTCACTTACACTTGTGTACCTCAGACTGGCTGTGAACTCATGGTGATCATCTTACCTTAGCCTTCTGAGTGCTGCGATTACTGCTGTGAGCCACAATGCCTCCAGGCTCTGTAATGAGTCCTCATGTTTCTGCCTTCCTGTTATAACAGTGAATCATGGGCTAGCCTGGAACCTATTATTCTCTTACCTATGGAGTTCTGGGATTATAGGCTACTATTTTAGCAGTTCCTAATATAGTATGATATTTATCTTAGGACCAGAAAGAAGAAGTGTGGAAATTGATAACAAAAACAAAACCATAACAGCCTATCATGAATCTGGCCATGCTATTATTGCGTATTACACAAAGGATGCAATGCCAATCAATAAAGCTACAATCATGCCTCGGGGGCCAACACTTGGACATGTAAGTTTCCTATAGACCTTCTTACCCCTACCCAGTGATGGTGGTTTAAACCCAAGAGACTCAGGCTTGGGAATCTGGCTCTCAGCACTGAACCATGTACCAGTTTAGTTTAGTTGTGCTTGCTTGCTTGCTTTGAGACAGTCTCACTTCTCACTTTGTAATCCACTCTGTAACTTAATTCTCCATGTACCCCGAACAGGCCTGAAACTTGTGATAATCCTTCTGCCTCACTTTTACAAGTCCTGGGATCACATGTTTGAGCCACTTTGCCTTCTGTACCTCATTTTCTTGTTTTAAAATTTCACTTTCAAATAAATCTTCCTAGAAGCTTGTTTAGGGAGACTGCGACTTCCCAGTGATATTTTAACCTTTTTGATTTCCTGAACAGTATTGAAATAAGATCCAATTGCTATAATTGATCAGAGTAGTTTTATAATATATTTCAGGTTACATATTTCCACAAAAATACAATTGAAGAGTGATTATAGACTATAATTTTAAATATCTAAATAAACTACTAGATATAGAGACACATCTTATGTCATAGCAACTGGTTCTGTAGTTGTTCTAAGATGCTTCTTAGTACATGCTTCGTTCTTGAATCTTTCTAATATATAACTGCTTGAATATTTATATGCAGCTGGAAAAAAAAGTCCTATTGCAGCATTATGTAGCTATTGTTTGTAAGATGCACCTGTACAGAGGATTTTCTTTTGTTTTTCATGTTGGTTTCACGTCATAAAGCTTTCATGTATAATTACCTGTTGACCATGTCTATCAAATAGTGTCTGGAAACACTGAATAGTTTTGGTTATGAATGTACCTATTTCAGAAGTGTGTCTGAATGCCTTTCCTTTTTGTTATGTGGTTATTATTAAACTGTATAGGTTTCACTATTGCCTGAAAATGACAGATGGAATGAGACTAGGGCCCAGCTGCTTGCACAAATGGATGTTAGCATGGGAGGAAGAGTGGCAGAGGAACTTATATTTGGAACTGATCATATTACAACAGGTTGGTTTTTCATAGTGTATTACTTGAAATTCGTGTTTATTCTTTTAAAGATTTTCAGAAGGTATTTATTTGTTTGTTTATTTATGTCTAGGTGCTTCTAGTGATTTTGATAATGCAACGCAAATTGCAAAGAGGATGGTTACCAGATTTGGAATGAGTGAAAAGGTAGTTAATTTCCCAATTGATAGACTTATGAATTGATAACGTTCTTTTTCATTGTCTGGTTCCTAATTTGAGACTTAATTCTAAGTATTGCTCCGAGTAATAATAGAGATTTTTTTTCTACTTAAACCTCTTGAATTAATAAATTGCTAAATTAAGTTATTTAACTCTTTCATCTTTCTGAAGTTATTTACATTTTTTTATTTCATTGTAATCCGGATTTGGGGGAGCTGTCAGAGTTTTCTGAGAAGACACTTAAAGGACTTTAATTTTCTATCGTACTCTCGTTTGCTATTTTGATTTGTCCTTATGATTTCCGTAGAATATTTCATTGCACTCAACATTTTTATGTTGCATTTCTTGCCCCCCCCCAGTTTATATATAGGCTACTACTTACTGTGCTAAACTTCTTGGTAATAATTTGTTCAATTATTTTATGCTTTTTGATTTTAGCTTGGAGTTATGACCTATAGTGATGCAGGAACACTAAGTCCTGAAACACAATCTGCCATTGAACAAGAAATAAGAATTCTTCTGCGGGTAATATTTTTCTGAGCTTGATTTTTTTTTTTGTTTTGTTCTGTTTTGTTATTTTACAAAATGTGCCTACATACTTAAAAAATGGTAACATGGTGGGGGGCAGTTAACAGTTCTAGTACAGAGTGCTAGTGTACTTTATGAAATGCCTTAGGTTTAGTCCCCAGTTGATGATAACTAGTGATTCTAAATCTTGTCCTATAAAATCTAGAGATGAAGAAACCCTGAGTGGACACAAGAGATACCGTTGCAAATTTGGGGATGTGGTTCAGTTGGTAGTAATTACCTAGCGCGCACAAAACACTGAGCTCAGTTCCCAGCACTCAGTTCCCAGCACCGCAGAGGCAAGTCATGGTAGCGTATGCCACAGCCTCAGCGCTTAGAAAGCAGAGGCAGGGGGATTAGAACTTCATGGACACCCTTGGCTACATAGACATAAAATATTATGTATCAGATAGGAAAGGTAAGAGAGCAGCTAAAATCATTTTCCAGATTTCTGCCTCTGGTAACTGTATTGTTTGTGCCATTAACTGAAGAACTTGGAGACCAAACTGGGATGCAAGTTATTGGTGTGGGTAGATTACTTTTGTTTAATAAGAAGCTACTGACTTTGGATATCATAATGAAGACTATGATATAACTATGATATCTTATATCATAAGTTAGAAATAGGGATGTTGGTCTGGAGCTTACTAGTAAGGTTGCTTTGTATTCTTAGATACTGAAGTTAGCCATGTGTTAAGGTAGCTCTTGGGATGAAGGAGCAGAGTCTGTTGAGTGAGGAGTGTAATCAGTACTAATTGCTGGCTTGTCAAGGGAGTCTGTAGCTAATCCTCAAGTGGCTGGGCTTTCAGGAGCAGTGCTTTCTGCAGGAGGGGCTACTAAGGGTCTGTAAATGGTGATGGAGCAAGAGTAAGAATTTCAGGAACGCGGATCTTCCAAGGAAGCATCCAGGCTTTAATTAACTGCTGGAGGGTAAAGAAAGAGATGCCCAAACTAGTTACAACAGAAAAAAAATGAACATTCTAGATAGGCAGGGACTCTTTTGAAACATTTTCCAAACTCTTCTGTTGTGATATATCCCATGTACTGTTTATATTGTTACGTACACACAGTTCATATTTTGGAACAAAACTTTTAAATGCTTTTAAAAGTATAAATCAACACACTTTAAGGCCTCATTGGTTTATTTTCTCCTTCTATGGTTATTGCATGTCTTCATTTTTTCTATGACTTGCTTTTCTCTTTCAGGAATCATATGAACGGGCAAAACATATCTTGAAAACTCATGCGAAAGAGCATAAGAATCTAGCAGAAGCATTGTTGACTTATGAGACTTTGGATGCCAAAGAGATTCAAATTGTTCTTGAGGGGAAGAAATTGGAAGTGAGATGATAACTCTCTTGATATTGCTGGTTTTATTACAAGGATATAAGTAGCCCTGCGGTCTCTTTTTTGCAACACTCTTCAACCCCCATTCTTGACTTGGCGTATAATTCAAGGATGAGAGACACTTTGTCAGCCTTCTGTCATAGTATCATATTTTGGTTATTCCCATGATGACACCCATTGGAGACTAGTAACCCATAGCAAATACATGAAACATAATAAATAAAGAGCTGTCAGGATTAAAGACAGATTGTTTGAAAAATGTCAATCAATCATGTTGAAAGTAAGCAATCATTTTTGGTTGATTACTTGAAGTGAGTAAAAATTGTGCCTTTATCTACTGGTAAGTATTTTTTTTTAATTTTCAAGCTAAAATAATTAAAAAACTATCATCTCCTGATAGTAATATTTCACTTTGGAAAAAAAAAACCAAATGCCATGGGTAAATGAATTTCTACATATAATCAGTGGAAAACATTAAGATGTACTTAATTATGTTCTTAAGTCACCATGTAAAATGGCCTTTAAAAGGAGCTATTTGAATTGTAAACATAAAGATATAATCAGAATTTAAACGCTTGTAATGTCTTTAAAATGCAGCATGAGTGCTCATTTTCTTTCAGATTCTATTGTCTCACTGACGGAATGGTTTTAGAACAGTATTTTATGATGTAAATAAGTAACAAAATATATTCTGAATAATTGTATAATTACCTTTAATCTCAAAATCACAATGAAACCAAAAACTCAATTCCTGTCAAAGTGGTCTTTCAACTACTGTCTTGTGAGATTTGGAAGGCTGTGCATCTGCACATATTACAGGATTCATCAGTAGTTTCACATTTTAGTCAGTAGAATGTAGAGTGCATTGTATTGGTGTTATAACCAAATTACATTCTTGAAGGAACTATTAAAATTGCATTCAGTTTTCTCATGGAGGATGTATATGCTCTTCATTGAAGAAAATAGGTATAATTAAAGGGACCTTATTACATGATATTCTTGGCCTTTTTAAATAATCTTAAGTTTTGATAACAATTCAAACTGAAAATGTTGGTAGAGCTCCTTTATATTTTTTGTCTATACTTATGTGTTGTTTAATCTTTTCCTGCCTTTTGCTGTCTCCATTTTCACTCATGTTCATGTGCTCACTGTCCTTTCCCTCATTCTTTGCATATTTATACGCATACATATGAAAAACATTGGTAACACGTTTATCTAATTTTACTTAAAACAGTTTTAGTCACATTGAGTTGTAATTTTCATGTTATAAAACTTGTTCATTATAAAATATATAGACCAAAGACTTTTTTCTGTGCAGTCATCCCCACTCTTAGGTTTTAGATCTTTTTTTTAAGTCTTTAAAATTTATAGTGACTCTGCAGACTTCCTGTGTGTGTTCTATTATGTGAGATTTAAAGCTTCATTACTACCACTATAAAGTGATATCTCATCAGTGACATTCAGATTGAATTCCTAACAGTTCTAGTCTCAGCAAATTGTACAGCAAGTTTACTGTGGCTTTTGAGTTTTAGTTGGTTTATTTTTTCTACTGTATATGTATGCAAAGACTGACAATCAAATTAGGCAAGGCATATAAGAACAAAGAACTTAGTTATAGGATAATAGCAAGAAAATATGTATTGAGATGGATAGAAAAGATAGTTTGTACATTCCTTATGTGGTATTTGCCCACACTCAGCTAGCAGAGCTTGAAGATACAATCTCCCTGGGGGAAGAGGGAAGCAAGCACAGAGCATGGCTTTAGGACCCTGTATTGGGCTTGCACACCACCATAAAATGCAGTAAAGGACAGACTCCCCACTTATGCTCTTCTATAATGAAAGTGAGGTGGTGATGGACTGTAACGGCCATTAGCTCAGAATAACATACATTCAAAGTGCTGAGTAAAATCCTGCCTGCCAAGAATATTGTACTCAACAAAACTGACCTTCGGAAATAAAGCAGTCTCAGAGACAAAAGCTATGAGACGACACCACCTCTTGACTTATTAAAGAAATGCAAAAGGGAGTTAGCTATTCAAACAAAAAGCAACTTGCTAGTAGAATATACTTGAAAATATGAAAGTCTGATAAAAAAAAAGTAAACACTTAAATTTAGAGCACTCTGATGATTGAGTTTAAATCATTACTTTTAGTATAGATAATAGGAAAATACCTACAATAATTTTTAAGAGATTGTGTGTAGTACGAATAATAAAAACCCAGAGACAGATATAGGGGTTAAAGCTGAAGATTAGAGAAGCAGAACAGTAAGCCACTAGAGAGACCTTTTACCTCTTCCGATCCTCAGACTGCCTAGGCTGCACTGTGACTCCACCAAACCTCAGACTCCACACTCTAGTGAGTTCCTCTCTCTTCCCCTTTATTTTCCTCTCTGCACCCAGCCATATCACTCCTGCCTCCACCTCTCCAGTGCTGGGATTAAAAGCATGTGACTCCCAGACACTGGGAATAAAAGTGTGAGGTGGCACCACCTTGGGTCTGTTTCTGGATCGATCTTGTGTAGCCCAGAGTAGCCTTGAACTCACAGGGATCCATCTGCCTGTTCTCCAGTTCCTGAAATTAAAGATGTGTGCTACCACTTCCTGGCCTCTAGATGTTTAACTTTGCGCTCTGATCTTCAGGTTAGCTTTATTGAAAAATGCAAATAAAGTATCGCTGCAATTGTGACAACTCCAGATGGATGCAAAGGGTAGAGGATTGGTTTTCCTTCTGAAGTTGTCATCTTAGTTTCCACCTTGGCTTCCCTTAGTGATGATGGATTGTGATTGGGCCTTGCAAACTAAAGAAACTCTTTTCTCACTGAGTTGCTCTTTTTCACAGTCTTTATCACAGCAGTAGGAAGCAAACTGCTAAGTGTCCAGCAAACCAAACTGAAAGACTAAATAGCAAGTGACAGATGATAGAAAGCCACACATCAAGTCAGGTGCATAAAACATCCAACAGAACTAATGGAAGGCCTGGTAAGACAGCAAAGTGGCGCTCCCGTGAAGTCTTTGGGCAGAGCAGAGTGTTTCAGGTGAGGCTTCCGGGTAAAAGAAGACAGACACACCAGATCAGATGCAAGAGTATCCTGTAGAAGTGGACTGGGAGAGTTGGGGCAGTTGCTGGAGATTGAATGGAGAGTGGCCCCTCTGCCCTCATCAGCTTGCTGGGACTGAACTTCTGAATTGTCTTTTTCACTCTGGTCACTTCAATATTATCGAATAAACAGCAGTAAAGACTGTAGGGAATTATCTTCAGGTTGATTTCAAGGACACATTTTACTCCTGGACTGATTTACTCTTCGGAGTGGTGGGGAACCTGTCTGGGTCTGAAATGGCGCAGTGGGAGACAAACGTGTCTGAGTCTGAAGTGGTGCAGTGGGGGACTGCTCCACTTTTAGAGTCAGCCCAATGACCTCTGACAACTCCTGACAATTTACCAATGTAGTGTGCATTACTTCTGTTCTTGAATTGTGTGTGTGTTAGTATAGGATATTTCTCCCTCAAGGTAGTGCGGAGCATAGGTTATTGACTGTGTTTCAAGCCTGTGTGCCACCTGTGGATGGTGACTGGGAATTGAACGCAAGACTTCCGGAAGAGCAGCCAATGCTCTTAACCTCTGTGCCATCTCCATCCCCCACTAATTTATTTTTTGAGCCCTGTTTGTATCTTGTTAATTTGGCTGTTGCACAATCAGTTGTAAAACCATTTCTTTACCCTCAACTCTTAACAAATTAGCATTTAATTTACACATTTAGCATAACATTTCCCCTTCAAGGACTTGGACCCAGGTGTTTAGGACTGGGATGATGATCAGTCTTGTCTGCTTGGGAGCTGAGCAGGGATAATGAATGAGCTGGATGGGTCCCTTGGGTTCATGCTTAGAGTAGCTGAAATGCAGGGTGATCTCTCAGCCTGTGGTAGAAGGAGATCGTGACTGGCATCCCTTTGCCAGCATTATCCGAAATTTTAGGAACTGGAATCTGGAAGGTGCCAATCATAAATGAACAGGAACCAAAGATAAAAAACATTAAAACTAGGGTAGCATATGATACTTCAGGACAATTTGGTGGATAATTGAAGAAACAGACCTGATATGCTATTTAAGGAGGTAGGTTTTATTTTATTAAAATGTATTACATCATTTTCCCCTTCCCCCATTACAAATTTTTTTCTCTAACTTCTCCCGTGGCCTACTGCCCCTTGCTACCTCTCAAAGCCCTGGCCTCTGTTTCCTTTGTTATTGCAGCACACACACACACTAACACACAGCCTTGCTAAACCCTCCTTAGTGTTGCTTTATATGTATGCCATATAATATTGTCTAATATTATATGTATGCCATATAATATTGTATAACTGATTAGAGGGCACCTTGGAGCAGACTCCTCTGACTGAAAATCGCCACCCCCCATGGCCTTTCTATTGGTCTTGGAACCCCTTTCCTGTTGGTCTCAAGAGCTGAGAGAAGGCAGGTTTTTGGATCAAGTGTTGAGTGCCTGGAGACTGATTTGCCTGTAGGCAGCAGGAGCTGAGGGGAAGGTAGAAGGCTGATGGCTTAGTGTCTAGCTATCATAATATTTTTGTTTTAATAAATAAAGCTTGCCTGAAGATCAGAGTGCAAAACTAGCCACACTAGTTAGCCATGCAGGCCAGACAGTGGCGATACACACGTTTAATCCCAGCAACTACACTAGTAAGCCATAGAGGCGGGGCAGTGGTGGTGCACTAGAGAGGAATATAAAGTTGGGTGAGACAGGAACTCACTCTCTTCCAGTCTGAAGATCTCATAGAGGTAAGAACTCTCTAGTGGCTTGGGTGTTTTGCTTCTCTGATCTTTCAGCTTGAATCCCAATATCTGTCTCTGGGTTTTTATTATTTGTGCTACGTTTAGGATCCCTACCTGTCTGTGCCAGGGGCTAAGAGCAAGACAGGTTAAGAAGTACATAGGGTTTGAGAAGTGCTCCTTACCTATTGTGTTACTAACGGAGAAGGCAGAATGGTGTGAAGTGTTAATACGTAATTCTACAAGTGTGTATATGACTGTATCCTAGTGGTTTTTACATGAGTATGTGTGTATGAGTTATTGTGTATGAGGTTGTATGACATGTAAGCATTAGTGTGTCCATTTGAGTGTGTATAGTCTGAGTGCAGGCATATATTAAGAGTACGTAGTGTATTGTGTGTATTGACTATATTGTTTGTAAAGCTGTGATTGTGGAATTTAAGTGATTTAAGTGCAAGTGTGTGTTGGTTGTGCACAGGAGTGCAATAATGTGTAACAGATGTGAGGGTGTACAAGTGTATGAGTTGGATGGGTAAGTGCAAGAGTGGAACTGGTATGCAAAGTGAGAATTTGTTAATTTGTCGGTGTGAACATGTTTGAGGATGCAGATGTGTGTATGAACAGTGTGACTGAAAGTGTGCAGCCATGTTTAGTTGTGTGTGAGAATGTGATTTTGTGTGGCTGGGTGATTATTTAAAGTTGTGTCAATGTGCACAGGTGTGAGTTTTCATTAATTTGAAAGAATGTGAATTTTCTGTACATGTGATTTTTACTCCAAAATGGATGGAGCAGTAGGTCCCCTTAAATGGGCTAAACCAGGCTCAGATAAGCACACTTTTGTCTTGCAAGTGGAGTCTAGAAATGAAGAAATACAATTGATAGTGAAGGTAGAGAACTGGGAAAGAAGAATGAGATGGGGTGGGGTGGAAAGAAGAGCATATGAGATGGGAATGGGGCTGAGTATGATTAGATGCATTATATGCACACAAAATATAATGAAGTCCATTTTATAAAAATAATATGCTATTAAGAAGGTAGAATTCTAAGCAGGGATGATTTTGTTTTCAGAAGGAAGTTTTCTGAGCATTAGGTTTTTATTGTAAGGGAAGTATCAGGAATACTGTTTTGTTATTTATATAAAGTGTGCACACTACTTAGCATAGTAAATGGTACGTAAATGTGAGCATTGATGTTCTAAAATAATGGACACCCAGTGCCATATTTTAAATATTTGGTGTAAAATTTTCATTTTGGCTTTATTTTTGAATTTATCTCATTAGAAAATACCTTCAACTGTCTAGGAATGTATGTCAGATCATGTGTTCCTATGTTGCACACTGGTTTTATAATTATGTAGTGTAAAATGCTAATATATTTTCATTGTATTGTTTCTTGGAGAAAAATATGTGATAGAGGGTTTAAGAGATCAAAATGAACAATACTTTTAAAGCCAATACAACTGAGTTTTTCAGAGCAAGGTCACAGTGGTCAGCAGTCCTCACACATGGATCTTACATAGCCTTACACAGAACTGAGGGTAATTCTTTCATCAGAAGTAGCCTGGAGGAAGGGTACCAAAGTCTGAGCTGAAAGCAGAACTCGGTCATGTGTTAATTGGATACCTGCAGCACTGGGTGGAGGGGTAAGTGCAGGAGCTGTGAACTCAGGTGGCTCTCCAGCAATGAACTGAGGTAGTGTTAGAAAAGACCTGGAATTTAGAGGTTCTAGTTCATCATGCATCAGCATGTTTGCAAAATTTGAAAATGAGGTATCAAAGCATTCTTGGCAGTGTGTCAAAGACTGACCTACTGTCAAACTGACAGATCCTGCAAGACCCTTAGCATGTGCTTTGTAAAGGAACTAATTTGTCGGTTTAGAAGCTGATAGAGCTGCTATAGGGGATATGGTTGGCAGGAAGAAAGAAGAGGAAGAGAAGGAGCAGGAGATTAACTGGCTTGGGAGGGAGGAAAGGAAGAGCCCAAGCCAGGTAGTGTTTGGGACCCAGAAAACTACTGAATCCAGCATTATAACCTAGTAAGAAAAGATGGGTTGGGACAAGAAAATGACTAATTAAAAAAGCAAAAAAAAATAAGATATTGCTCTCCAAAATACATCTTGGAATTATTGCAGGTTTTATAAGAATAAATAGAATAAAGCTAGGGAGAACAGAAAAATGAAGTCAGGGACAAAGAGAGTAGGCAGTTTGCTTTAGTGGATATTCACTTTGCATGGACTGTGCTGTAATTTTTCTTTGAAGCTTATGCTCACACATCTCTGAAACCATAACAACAGATTGTTAGTTCCACTGTTCAATTCTCATACAGACCTGCAGGGATGCTACTGGATGTGGAAAATAATAGAAATTAAGAGGCCGTTCTGTCTGGAGAGATTTTCTTGAAGAGCAGGCCTTTGGCATTCTTACCCTCTCCACTTCCAACATCTGTATACAAGAACTGCTTTCCCATGGCTGCAAATCGGCCTTAAGAAAATGACCAACAGTCATCCAGTTTTCTGATAATGACATTTAAAAAGATTTTAAGTTTAATTATGTGTGTGTGAAGGAATGGGCACATGTGAGTGTAGGTGCCCACAGTTCAGAAGAAGGTATTGAATCCTCTGGAGCTACACTAGGTTTGTGAATCAGTGGTGGACGCTGGAAACCAAGTCAGGTTCCTCTGCAAGAGAAATGCATGCTCCTAAAACTGAGCCATCCCTCCAGTCGTATCTTCGGATGTTTGAAATAATGCGGGTCTGCCCTACAGAGATTTGACAGGCTGGTCTATGCACATGCGCATTGATCTTCATTGACTTTAGACGCACGTACATGTTCATGCACACGTGCATATCCATAGCTCGCATTCTGCACACCGTTGCATACTTGTGCCCACCAGCATGGCTTGACAAAAGCCATTCTGTCAACTGTCTTTTCAGTTGATAGACACTAACCCAGGGACTGACTGGAGAGAACGTTGGAGAGACTTGGCTAATCTATGATAAACGATAATATTTGGATCAGGAGGGGTGGGCTTATAATAGCATTGATATTGCGACAAGGAGGGTAGACTAATTAAAAATATGTAGTATTAAAAACAGGAGGGGTGAACTTTACAATTTGATATGAGATAGAGAGGGCTGGCTTGTTAAAATAACTGGTTGATACTGGGGGCGGTAGCGGTTGGCTTGCGGTAACGGTGCCTGAGATGGGAGGAGAACACAGCCGAGGGGGAGGGTGGAGGCCTTGGGGTGCCCAAGGCGTCTCTGTGTGCTGTTGCTGTCCAGAAAAGAGTCTTGAAGAGATGCCCTTAGGTTTCTGCGATATCAGTGGACGGAGAAACAACCCGTGCCTTGGGCCTCAGGATTCTGCGTATTTAGACATGGCCTACTTTCCTGACAACGACCTGCACATGGCAGCCTGTGCGGGAGATTTACCTTTTGTGCGGTTGTACTTTACTCTGGGGAAATATGAAGTCAATCACAGAGACAAGGAGAATAGGTAAGAGGGCCTTTAGACCTGGGCGAGGGCTGATGTTGGGGAAGACACCTTTACTGGCTCCCAAGACAAGAAAAAAGGCGGGAGAGCCCAGCTCTGCTCCCTGGCACTGCAGGCGCATCTGGAAAGGGACCCAAGACCCAGCCAACAAAGGGAAGAATTCTGGTTGCTTTCCCTTTTCCTAGGAGCCCCTTAGAGAGTCAACAGACTATTTAAAAGTATTAAGTAACAAAATTAAATCACATCATTTTATCTTAGTGTACACATTAATGTTACATTGAGAAAAGTAAAAGACAATATTCTTCATAATGTGTTACCTTCAAACCTAAAACTTGTTCAAATAAAATCCAATAACCATTATATATGTTAGATGTATTATATATGATGGATATATACATATATACATGTATGTGTGTGTTTGTGTGTGTATACATATATATGTACATACACACATTTAACTGATGTGTGTGTGTTATAAGGACCTGAAATAGGAAAGTAGTTGAGTGTACCTGTTCCTGCTACTGCATTTAAAAGTTGTACACATCTCTGCTTCTTGGTTCCAGTAGGGGGAAAAACATATTGACCTGTCTTAAAATATCAAACCATTAGAAGAACACAGAGTTATAAAAAAATTACAGTGCATCCATTGAAAGGAATAATTCACCTTTGAAAGAGGCATAGACATGGAGGAATATTAGCATAGTCAGGTGTAGCTTGTTATGCTAAGCAACAACTCAGTTTGATTGCATCCATACAAACATTTTTATTAGCAAACTATATGTAAAAATCTAATTTTTATTTTCAAGAATTTTAATTACAAGTGTATTTCCCCATTTTATTGCTTTAATGTTTAATTTGAGCATGAGGGGTTTTGACTATATTTTTATTTCTTTCTAGCTTATTTGCAGTAATACAGAATATCTACATTAATGTTGGCATTGAATCTTACTTTTTGACTCCTATGTGGCTTGTTGGTAATGGAGCTGCATGTACTTCTGTTATTCCTTCAAATAATCCTTTGAAGAGTAGAACTGTTCATGCACAGATGAAAATTTCACACTTTCTCTTAATTTTTGTGTACACATGTGTTGATATTTTCTGTAAATACTTATTCTCTTCTGAGGAGAATTTTTTAAATCTCTGCTTATAAATTTTTATGTAGTATAAATATTATTGAGTATGCCTTTTTCTATACAGACTTATATAGGCAAATAATTGTATACTGGTTGTGCTAGATAGTTGTATGTCCACTTGACACAAGCTAAAGTCCTCTGAGAGGAGGGAACCTCAATTTAAAAAAAAATGTTTCCATAAGATCTGGCTGTAGGGAGTTTTCTTAATTAGTGATTGATGGGAGAGGACCCAACACATTGTGGTGGTGACGTTCCTGGACTGGTTGTCCTGGATTCTATAAGAAAGCAGGTTGAGCAAGTCATGAGGACCAAACCAGTAAACAGCACCTTTCCTTGGCCTCTGCATCAGCTCCTGGCTTCAGGGTCCTGCCCTGTTTGAGTTCCTGTCCTGTCTCTCTTCAGTGTTGAACAGTGTTGTAGAAGTATAAGGCAGATAAACCCTTTCTTTCCTGTCATAGTTAGGGTTTCTATTGCTGTGAAGAAAAGCCCTGGTAATATTTAATTGGGGTGGCTCTTTTTCAGTTCAGAGGTTTAGTCCATTATCATTATGGTGGGAAGCAAAGCAACATGCCGGCAGACATGGTGCTATAGAAGGAGCTGAGAGTTTTTACATCTTGACTCACAGGCAACAGGAAGTGATCTATCTCACTGGGCATGGCTCAAGCATTTATGAGACCTCAAAGCCCACCTCCACAATGACACACTTCCTCCAACAAGATCACACCTACTCCAACTAAGGCTTCACTCCTATTAGTGTCACTCCCTTTGGGGGCCATTTTCTTTCAAACCACCACATCCCCCAAGATGCTTTGGTCATCATGTTTTGTCACAGCAATAGAAACCCAAATTAGACACTGATCATAATTATGAAAATAAAAGATAGCAAGTATAATGGCTACTAATATTACAAAGCTATTGTCATATTTTATAAAAGTTCCTTTATAGAAATATAACTTTATTTTCTCATTCTCTCCATCCGTTCAGTCTCTAGACTTAGTCTGAATATCCACTATGTACAAACTGCTACCTTTCAGGATTCATCCCTTCTTGAAATTTTTTTTTCTTTGCCCAGACTAGCCATATTGACTAAAATAAATCTTACTTCCTTGTCTTACTCCTGCAATTTCTTTCTTTAGCTTAAAAGTTTCTTAAAAATCAAAGCCCTGATTACTATGTGCTTGGCTCCTGCTTACTGCTATTGCTGTTCTTATTGTATTTGTAAAAAGTAAAATTTATTAAGTGCAAACGGTATGACTAGATTGCAATGGATCCAATATGTATAGGATTGTGTTCTGACTCATGACCTTGAGTACTAATAAAAATCTAAACATTACTACCAATGATAAAACAGGAGAAGGGCATTCCAGCTTCAGCATCGTTAGGCAGCTGCACCGCATGAACTCCATTTCCTGCTATTTGGAGGTTGAGCAGTGTAGCAGCAGGCCACTTGTTTGTCCTGACTGCCTGGCTAGCTTAGCCCGGAAACAACCACACAGAAATTGTATTCATTAAAACACTGCTTGGTCCATTAGCTCTAACTTATTATTGGCTAACTCATATTAATTTAACCCATTTCTATTAATCTGTATATCGCCACGTGGCTGTGGCTTACTGGGTAAAATTTCCAGTGTCTGTCTCCTGCGGCGGCTCCGTGGCTTCTTCCTGACTCTGCCTCCTTTCTCCCAGCATGCTATTTAGTTTTCCCCACCTACCTAAGTTCTACCCTATCAGTCCAAGGCAGTTTCTTTATTCATTAACCAATGAAAGCAACACATAGACAGAAGGACCTCCCACACCATTTTCTGTTTAAACAAAAAGGAAGGCTTTAACTTTAACATAGCAAAATTACATATAACAAAACAGGTATCAAGCAAGAATCACAGTTACAATATTTCTATTTACTTTATCTTTTATCATAATGAAGGAAATAAAAGATTCCAGAAGGGTATATTACCTAAGTAAATAGGAAGTACATTGTAAGCAACTTCCAAAACTCTAGAAATGACAGAGACATCTCTCTGCGTGGACAGTCACCCAAAGTTCTTCTGTAGCATTGACACATCCATCTTCAGCCCACAGGCCCATAGAATCCAGCAGAGTTTTCCACGAAGCAGGAAATTTCAAAGACAGTTCTGCCTATACTGGCAGTTTGTCCGTCATATTTTTCTGTGTCCTGCAGAATGTCTGGCAAGACTCATGAAGCAGAAACCCCAAAGGATCGTCTCACCTTTAGGCAAGTTCAGCAGTCATTTCTCTGTGGATCCTGCATGTCCACTTCATCTAACAAACTCCATAAGGAGTCTCTTTGATGCCCATCTTTTTCTTGAAGTAGATTGGTGCTGCCAGGAGCAGATGTGTCTCATTGTCATGAAAAGTCCTAAGTTCTTTTTTGTGGGTTAAAACGGGTCTGCTTTATAAGTGAATGCGTACACTCGGTTAAGATTTTTTTTTTACATTATTATAATTTAAATAGGTGCCAAATGTCCTGTTCCCCTTTCTTCAACCGGGAAGAGAAAACTTCTTTTCCAAATCACTTGAAGCTTGGACAAAGATGACCATTTTCCCACATCATCCTGTAGTATTACAGATGCAGCAACAAGGAAGACTTCTTCAACCTTTCATGATCTCATCAACCAGGAGAATGTTGGTGGCAATCACAGTACAGGAGTGAAGCAGCTGCTTCTTCACACACCCATCTCTGCTACTACCATTGGCTCACCTGTGTTCAAATCCACACCTACAAATTGATCTGATTCTGAATGCTCAGCTTGAACTTTAGTGTTTCCTGAAGGTCAAAACCAGACTTCTGTGCATGAACCTTGGGAATAATGAACAAGGCATCCGCAAATGCCTGGATGCCAAGCTGAGCTCTGCCCTTCACACTGGGCTTGTATTTAATCAGAGCTTCTGCCATTGCCACTTCTACTGCACCAGCACCTGGGACAACACAGCCATCATCAATGGCATTGATGACAGTCCTAAAGCCATCTCTTATTGCATCCTTGATTGGAGTTAGTGTGTGCTTATTTGTGACAGTTACTTTTCTCAATAAAGGTGAACTTCTCTTTGCCCAACATATACTCATAGACAAGACCCATATGTCTCAAACATTCAGGATTCAGGTCACCAAAGGAATTCAGAACCATCCCACCACAAATGTCTGCCTCTCCATGTTTCTTCCCTTCGCCAATGCAGAGCCACTATGCCTTCTTTTGCAAGGGGTCAATCACCTTTTGATTAATGACAAATCCTTTATCTGAGTCACCACAGACTTTTTCTCAGCTCTATTATCTTTTTAACCCTGTCTTCAATGAACTTCCTTTCAGCTTTTACTAGCTTTTCTCTCTCTTCCGCACTCTTGTAAAAGAACCCAGAATTCACTTCTGTTTTCTCATACTCCAAAGACACGTTGCATGTGAGGATGTAGGCATTCTCCATCCTTTTCTTCATATCAGGATCCCGTGCTCCACGATTCAAAACAATCCCTCTGATTAAGCTTGTATCAGTTTCAGATTTATGTTTCCCCTCCGTGATCTTAACCATGAAGAGGTCAATGGGTTCATCTTTTTTCTTAATGACCAAAATGGAGTCCACTACAGCCTCTGTTAAGACATCTGCAGGTTCAGCATGAACTTTAGTTCACAGAGATATTCTGGACACATCGACGAGTGCTTCTCTGTCCATCTCTCCGCTTACTTTCACTTGTTCCAAAAACTGGAGTGCCCCTTCCTTTGCAGCTTCAAAGCCTTCGGTTATTAACCTGGGGTGAAGACCCTCAGAAATCTAGAGGTCCGCCTGTTTTAGTGGCTCCCCAGTGATAGGGACATTGGATGTGGAGCCGTCACCCTTTTTGTCATCCTGGGCTGTAACTACTTTTGCTATTAAAGAGGCTCTTGGGTGTTGAATTAGCATTTCACGAAGTAGCACATTGCCTTCTTTAGTAAGCTTGATGTCTCCAGCACCAGAAACAAGTATCTTCATGGTGCCCTTAGGCACCATGGTGTCTAAGGTCCTCAGAACATCCTGCAGGCCCCATGCCATGCTGATGTTCACTGCCAGTGCTGCCTGCACCCGGGCCACCTCGGCTTTAGGGTTTAGGGTCTTCACTGCCATCATGGTTTGCCTAGCTCAAGGAGTGGCAGAGAACAACATGCTCTAGCGGGTCTTCTCGAAAAGTCTTATGCACCTGGCCCCATCCTATGTTCTTAAAACATTTAAATGCCATATTCTGAAGGTCTCTGAAAAATGTGAAGAATACCTATCTAACTAAAATATATCTCTATACATCTTGAAAATCTAACTAACATGACTACAATTTTGACTATTATAGATGACTATCTATTAACTTATATTTCTTAATTACGCATTACATTTTCAAATGAGATTCACAATCACAATACCCCAAACAAACCAAGATCCATACCAACGCAAATCTCTATAACATATCCCCCTTTAAATGTAAAAGAACATTTATAAACAATATTTGGGAATATGGGCATAGTTTTGTCCATACTGCTTCCTGATGTTTGGAGGCATTATTAATCAGGTCTTTTATGGTATATCTTGCGTGCTAGGTTCATCTTAGTCAGCAGTTGGGTGAAGTATTTTCTTTATGGGAGTGTTCACAGCAACCTTTCATGGGGTCTTGTTCCATGAAACCATATTGGTCTAGAAGCAACCCACAGGTTCTCATCTTCTGATAAACCCAAATTTTGAAGTCAAGATACCTTTGCAAAATACATGCTGGTTTAGCTTAGCAACCCATACAATGAAATCTCTTTCTGTACTTAGCTCCTTCACAGTCAAAAATTCAAAGAAGACACAATGCTATACATAATTCAGATTCTCTGTGAATTTTCCATCTTTATGTGGCTATTTTTCTTTACTCCTTTTAATCTATGACTGTCTGTATTCTGACTCTTTAAAGACTTTTTAAACTTCTTTTTCAACTTTCTATACTCTTTTTCTTCTCTCTGCCAAGCATATGTACATTTATCCAACACTGACCCATTTAGAGGTCTTTGATATCTGAATCTGTCCTATTGGGAATCTGTAATTCTTTACTGTTCAGGAGCACTTCTTAAAATGGTAACCACTTCTTAAGAACTTAAGTTGCACCATTAGTAAGGTATATATGGTACTTCCTGCTCACTCAGCACAGTCCAGCATGGCAGAGCTGCTCACTGCCTCTGAGAGACAAACACAGTGACCCATCTCTAGGCTGGTCCATGCCACCATTTAAGCAAGCTGCAGCCCTCTGCTCACAAAGCCTACTCAAAAACTTGCTCTCCCAAAAGAGCCAGAGGTTGCGCTGGCAGCCTGGCCCAAAAAGCTGGCATTTTGAAATGGTCACGGCTTTTTTCCTGCTATGGCTGAATCAGAAAAATCTCTTAAAGGAGCTGCAGCATGCTGTCAGCAAACAGCAAGAAGCTGTGTTAAACTCTGTATTTTTGTGTCTACAATTCCTTTTCAAGTACTCTCAGGTTTTACATGGATTTAGCTAGCACACGTTAGAACAGGCTGCTTGTTTGTCCTGGCCTCTCAGCTAGCTCAGTCCAGAAATAGCAACACAGAAATTGTATTCATTAAGACACTGTTTGGCCCATTAGCTCTAACTTATTATTGGCTAACTCTTATGTTAATTTAACCCATTTCTATTAATCTGTATATCGCCACATGGCTGTGGCTTACTGGGTAAAATTTCCAGCGTCTGTCTCTTGCGGCGGCTCCATGGCTTCTTCCTGACTCTGCCTCCTTTCTCCCAGCATGCTATTTAGTTTTTCCCACCTAAGTTCTGCCCTATCAACAGGCCAAGGCAGTTTCTTTTTTCATTAACCAATGAAAGCAACACATAGACAGAAGGACCTCTCACACCAGAGCAGGAAGAGAAGGAATGTGTGGCCAGCCTGGACAGGAGGACCCTGTCTCACTTAAAAAAAAAAAAAAAGAAACCACACCTTAAACTCGCTGAAATATAGAATCCTAAGACCATCTATGGAATGGGGTGGTTGTATAGTTTCATCTTCCTGAAATACTATGCATGTTAAGCTAGAATCTAATTACGAGGTTATGATATCTAGAATGTTATGAGTAAAACTTTCTTACTTTGTTGACATTCTTGATGTAGCATTACAGTGTTTTATTTTATCAGAACAGAAATGAAGCCGAGAAAGGGTAAGAAATAGCCTGTAGGTAATGGAGCTTAAAGTAGGGTTAAAACAGAGTTTTAAGATAGGGTTTGAAGATAAAATCCCCTCCCCACCAAGACTCATGTATTTGAGCTTTTGGACCTCATATGGTAGCTCTGTTTTAGAAGTTACGGAATCTTATGTGCAGATGGAAGTTTCAGGGGGTCAGACTTTAGACATCTAGCCAGTTGTTGGTTCCAGTCCCTTCTCTGTTTCCTGAATGCTACCATGAGGATATGGCTTATAGGACATAAGATCTACTTTGTGGTAGGATGTGTGGACAAGTCTGTAGTTGAGTATTAGAGAAGAATGCTACAAGCAGAGCTTCATGACCCGTTCAAGTGCAGAAGACAGCTGACCAATGGAAGCAGACAGGAAAAGGCTGGCCCAGGAGACTTGGAAACAAGGGGCCTGTCGTGAATTGGGATAGACATCATTTTTAGTAAATTCTGGCAAAGTATCTGTGTTCTATATCCTGAAATTTAAATGAGGCTTCCTGCAAATAAAACAGATTGATTGTGTGTGTGTTTATGGTTTATGTAGGTGTGATTTGGAAGAAATTTCACAAATATAGAAATTTTTTAGAAGGACATTACGTATTTATTTAAAAGGCACATGCACAGTATGCTATTAAACAGTTTCAATTACTTGTATACTTGTGCATATCTAGGTAGTGCACTGTGATTTCTCTGTAGGAATGCCCTGCACTTTGCCTGCTTCTATGGACATCTACAGCTCGTGACTTACCTCTGGAGGCGTGGCTGTGAGATTAATGCGTGTGACAATCGTAACATCACACCCCTGATGAAGGTAGATCATAGTCATTTTAAACACTGGATGCTTTTGATTTAAGCAAAAAATGAATTCAACTTATTTACATAAATACAATTAATTGGTGGAACCCATGAGCATGGATCGTAAATTCTTTGATTTGACCATGTGCTTCTTGTTACAATCCCTCCAGGCTGTCCAAAGCTGGGAAGAGGAAATCGTGTGTTTTCTGCTAGAGCATCATGCTAACCCACACATTAAAGATTGCAATGGAAACACTGCTCTCCACTATGCAGTCTATGGCGGGAAGCCATCAATGGCTGATAGGTTACTACAATATGGAGCAAATATTGAGGAAAGAACAAAAGTAAGGATCATTTTGCTTAGAAACATCTGTGATGTATGCAGGGCTAGTCACCATGTTTAGAATCTCATGCATTCCCTGAATGAAAATGCTTAGACATTTGTAATGGAAATCATTTTAAGTGTTGGTACTTTGGAAAGTGCAGCTTTCTTCTGTACATTCAGGACAAAGGTATGTGGATGAATTCATTAGAGGTAAGATTTTTATTTTATTCAATAATCTTTTAAATATTTTTTTGGTCAAAATAAAAAATCAACACAATAAACCAATATTAGTTTTGCAAACAAGCACCATCTTAAAACTCAAACAAAACAAAAGTGTTTTGAATTAAGTGGAAACAGTAACACTGTTGATAAGTTCTATCTATCATGCTGATGGGAGAATAATGGAAACAAACTAATTAGAAATACTTAGACTAATTTGGAAGTTATGCAATCGACACAAAATGCCAAGAAGGCTTTGCTAATTGTTAGGGTTTTTTTTCCCCAAGTTGTTTTCCAAGTTTCTTTGAATAGGGCTTTCTTCAGCTTTCAGTTCATTTTTAGTTGGACTTACTGAGAGAAGGCTATTATTGAAATCATAAGATTTGAATTTTTGATTTGTAAAGAGGTTGTGAGAAAGACAGAGTAAAGATTGGTCCTAGTAGGATTGCTTTACTTAAATTTAATCTCAGAAAATAGCTTTTGAATATTCATCACAATAATGTGATGTTATTTACAGAGAAAGGTAATCAATTTGACTATTTTTGTTTATTGTTATTTTTGAGATTGTAATTTAGTTACATTTCTCCCTTTTTCTTTCCCCAAACCCTTCCATAAATCTCTCCCATTCTCATTCAAATTCATGACCCGTTTTTCATTCATTATTATGGCATATAAATGTATATACATCTATGTTCATAAATAACCTGTTGAGTCCATATAATGTTATGTGTAAGATGTATATGTATGCTTTCAGGGCTGACCATTTGGCACTGAACAACAAGTTGGTGTGCTCTTCCCTTTCTGAGAGAACCCCAGGTTTACTAAGTTGCCTGTAGTTCTTTGTGTAGGGTTGAGACCTCTTGAACTGTTCCTCTTCCAGTCTGGCATGTTCATTGGTGTTTTCCTTGCTCAGCTCACATTTTGGGCAGTCATATTGGTGGAACTTTATGTGTATAACTTTTGATCTTACTAGGAGACAATCTCACAGCAGACTCCTTGATCTTCTGGCTCTTTCAATCTTTTTGCCCTGTCTACAACAATTCTTGCTCCCTGAGGCTCAGGTGAGGCTCAGGGAGTCTTTTGTAGTTGTATCCATTGGGACGGGGCTACACAACTCTGCATTTTGATTGGTTGTGGTTTCTGTAGTGCGCTTTGTCTGTTGCAGAGAAGTTTCCTTGGTGAGGTGTGAAGACTACACTTATTTGAGGATATACAGAAGAAGGTGGGAGAAGGGAAAAGGGGAATAGGAGGATAAAAGTGATCCGATATGGAAAATGGGAAATTGTGCGTCTTTTTGGGTGAGGCAGGTAAATAAAGATTGGGCTATTAAGAGACTAAAATAGGCCAATTTAATTTTGCCTTTGGACCTCTAACATTCTAACTCTCCACAATTAGAGATACAACAGCAAGAGTACAGCTTGTGGAAGCTTCAGCAGATGTAGCTGCTCTTGACAGCCTCATCTTATATCCATGGCAGCTCATGTCCCGCTGTAGCAGTATCAGGGAGTTCCACAATAGCCCGGAATGGAGTATATCAAAGGTTTATTTATTTGGGGATAAACTCACAGTAAAGGTAGCGATCCACAGTCCTCTGTGTGCGCTGGGAACTGGAACTGAATCCAGCAGATAAAACAAGGGGGGCCCATTTGCACACTTTTCATCTATCTGTACTTACAATACATGAGACCACGCCCAAAGTGGGCCGGCGTCTTAAAGGCTATTGGTCGAAGGAGTTCCCACAACATCTCACTGTAGCCAGGAGTTTATCCTAGAATCTGATGAGACTGTGACATCAGGAAGGCAGATCTTCAGGAGAAAGAAGTAATTATCAAAGGCTACTAAGGAAGAAACTTCTAGATTCTACTATCTATTGGGCATATTATAATCCAGGTTTAATTAGTCAATTTTGTTCCCTATATATGATATAATGGAAATGTTAAAAGCATCACTTCTGAAAGGAGCAAAGATGACAGAGGAGAGAGTGGTGCTCTGACTGAAGCTAGATAAGTAGCCCCGCTCCACTCAATGGAGTTAAATCTAGGGGAGAGCCAATGTAACTGACTTTCCTATTTAATTCATAGAAATAGGAAAAGGTTGACTCAGAGATTAAATATGGGTTTAAAATGTGGATGTCTTTCAGGGCGGTGGTGGCACAAACCTTTAATACCAGCACTTGGGAGGCAGAGGCAGGCGGATCTCTGAGTTTGAGACCAGCCTGGTCTACAAGAGTTAGTTCCAGGATAGGCTCCAAAACTACAGAAAAGTCTGTATCGAAAAACAAAGAAACAAAAACAAAAACAAAAAAAAGTAAAGAAAAGAAAAAAGGAAAATCAAAAAAAGTAGATGTCTCCAAAACTGAGGCTTTTGTTGTTGTTAATTTAGAATTAGATCTCTTTTACCTAAATTATACCAAATAAGAAAATCTTTTACAAAGACAGTAAGAACATTTGAATCTTAAGATGGGGAAAACACTTGAATCGTTTTAAACATGAAAACTACTTAAATAAAGTAGGGGTCTGGGTAAATGAACAACCATACAAAGCACTGTTAAGGTAAGGACGTGACAGCGCTTTCACCTGCACCAGACTGGTACACAGAGAGCAGTCTGGAGACAGAGGGAGATGAGTGGGGGCGCCCCAGCTCCAAAAAATAGTCTGGGCAGACAGTGGAACGTGAGATTCCTCGAAGAGTTTTGCTATAGAGGACAAGAATAGCTGTCACCCTCTTATTTGAAAGCCACTTGCATAAGTACCAAGCTGTGGCTGAGAAAGAATGGGGCGGGGGTGGGGTTGGGGGAGGGAGAGCACCACGGCTGAGAGAGCCGTTGGAAGTGGGAGGGATTATGGGAGGGGGTGGGTCATGAGGTTACACAGGGAAAAATCCATAATTTTGGAAAGGCCGAGGCTGGTACCCCGGGAATCCTTGGAGGATCCAGGCAGGCACCCATGAAGGGAGCTCTCAGCAGATGTCAGAGCCAGCCAAGAAAGGCCCTGAATGGACCCTGGCACCTAGTCAGTGGACTGATTGGGTGCAGAGAGAGACAGCAGGGTCAAAGATAAATGGGCCAGGTTTTCATGGAGTTACTGAATTTAAAAAGTTGTGCAAGACTGGCAAAGGCAGGGGAAGTTTCGGGTAGAAACGGGCTTTAATGCCATCCGTTTCTACCATCTACCACTATGCGGTATGTAGTTCTACGTCAACAAGAATTGTAACATGAAAGATACCTTTTTAGGGCCACTGAAATCCATTGCCTGATTTATACTGTGGCCAGATGCTGTACAGAAACTTAACAGTCTCTTTGATTGATTTCTCCCCCAGGATAAAATGTGTTTAGAAGTATATAAAAGCTATTTAGTGTTGTGGAATATTATTTCAAGATGTGTTGCATTTGTTTATGCTGTGGAACATTTGTTTAGTGATGCAAAGATGTGTTGCATTTTTTTCTTTTGCATCTGTTTTACTCTGTAAAACTGTGTTACTTTGCTTGTCTAAAACACCTGATTGGTCTAATAAAGAGGTGAACAGTGGATTGCTGGGTAGGATAAAGAACTAGGTGGCACGGCCAGGCATAGAGAATAAATAATTGAAGAGAGAAGAAGAGCGATGGGTGAGAAAAGAAGGGGAGGAGGATGCCAGGGGCCAGCAGCCTAGCCACAAAACCAGTCCTGGAGCAAGAAGGGAAGAAAGCTATGTAGAATGATGAGTTAAAATATAGAAGAAGAGAAAAGCTGGCTAGAAATAAGCCAAGCTAAGGCCTGACATTCATAAATAAGAATAAGTCTCTGTGTGTTTATTTTGGACCTGAGTGGTGGGCCCCCAAAGAATAAAGAGTAAACAAATTCAACTACAATCTAGGGGAGAGTCATTTGGTAGTTGAGAGTGAGGCGCCCATTACAAGGCCTGTGAATCAAGCCAGTGGAGATGAACAAGGGAGAAAAGCAGTCTTGTACCTCCCAGTTCTCAGAGGTGTGACAAATGTCACAGTCGGCATATCAGATACGATATCGAGCATTTCCCCAAATACAAAATGATCTGAGCCACAGTCCTGGACCATGCCAGGGGAGTCACGTAACTTAGCATGGGAATTTATTTGGTTCAGAAATGAGTAGGTGCCATAGATGTGACAGACTCACTACTTTATGCTGGGTACAGAGAGGCAGCAGCAAGAGAAGGCGAGGATCCTAACGTGTTCTGCACTTCAGTGGAGCTCCCTTTGAGTCCCCTACACCATTATGAAGATTTTGGAGAGGGCAGTGTCTTAGGGTTTCTATTGCTGGAACAAAACACTGTGGCCAAAAAGCAAGTTAGGGAGAAAAGGGTTTATATGACTTATACATCACTGCTCATCCCTGAAGGAAGTCAGTACTGGGAACTCAAACAGGGAAGGAACCTGAAGGCAAGAGCTGGTTGTAGAAGCCATGGAGGGGTGCTGCTTACTGGCTTGCTCCTCATGACTTGTTGAGTCTGCGCTCTTATAGAAACCAGGACCAGCCAGCAGTACAGGGATAGCACTGAAAACCTAACAGTAACAATGGTGATAAAAATCCTTTCAACAAATTATTCATGTAAGTAACATTGGGAGAATTGAATGCATTTATAGTATAAATCAACAATCAATCTAGAAATATAGAACATTTTTAGAGTAGGCAGTTTGTAATTTAATTTAAAATTTGACATTTGGCTTTTGTAAAGAAAGAAAATATTTCAGCCGGGCAGATCTCTGTGAGTTTGAGACCAGCCTGATCTACAAGAGCTAGTTCCAGGACAGGCTCCAAAGCTACAGAGAAACCCTGTCTCAAAAAAAAAAAAAAAGCAAAAAAAAATCACAGGTGAATGGTAATTTAATAACCATTGGTAAACACACAACAAGGATATCAGTAGTCCACAATTTAAGAATATTGGGGGTTAGATGGGAGCAATTAAATGGCTCTAAAATATCAAGATGAATTTAATAAGGGAACAAAGTTTTATAGACACAAAACTATCTCAAGTGAGGGTTGCAGAAGTCTAGTGTTCATGTTCTATCTGTAAACAAGGGGCAGCATTTTGATGAGAACTGGAGAGCCTGTGTGAAACCAGAATGGGTGGAGGGAAAGGCTGGCTTCAATGCCAAATCCTTCATCCCTGTCTCTAGCCCACATCTTGAAACTCTGTTTCTTGTTTTTGCCCATTGAGTTCTGTGAAATGTAAGTTGATTTTGTTGTTTTGCAGGATAACCTCACACCACTATTGCTTGCTCTCAGGGAAAACAGACTGAATATGGCGCAGTTCTTAGTAAAGGCGGAAGCCAGTGTGCATGCGGTTGACTCTCAGAGAAGGTAGCATTTGACTTTAAACCCTCTAATGTTGTTCTAAACTGCAGACAGCCATGCACATAAAATAGTACATGAATAGAAACAATAATATTAACTTATAGGAATATACTGGAAGCCAAGCATATATTATCTGCTCGATAGTATTTCTTTTCCTCCTCCCACCCCAGTCAGGATTCTTTGTGTGGCTCTGGATGTCCTAGAACTTGCTCTGTAGACCAGACTGGCCTTGACTGTAGAGACCTACTTGCCCCTGCCTTATGCTAACTGAGATTAAAGGCATGAGCCGCCACATCCAGCTTAGAATTTCAATAATTCAAAGTGAATGATATATAGTAGGGTTCATACTCTCATTAATATTGACCAGTTTCTCTAATTTTTAATCTAATATTAGTACATATGATCTTATATTAGCTAAAATGTATTAATTTTGTTTTGATACACTTTTTAAAGAAAATTCTGTATTTAGTATAAAATAAAGCATAATTATACATCAGTTACTTTTCATATTGGCATGACATAATACATGACAGAGGGAAATTAATGGAGGCATGGTTTATTTTGGCTCATATCCTCAGAATTTATTATCTATTTTGGCAGGGAAACCATGATATAGTATCTCAATGATGGGGAGAATATGGGAGAACTCTTCCCAAGGATTTCTGTGTACCTAACATCTCCAACAACCCCACGTTCTCCATTGTTAAGTTAGAATTCCATCCACAACTCAACATACAACTAGATTAGCAGCTCTATGTAGGAAATTCCAGCCTGTTCCTCATTGCCCAGCCTCGTGGGTTTGTTTTTCTTCCTGAAACCTTGGTGTTTGTCCCCACAATCCTGTAACTCTTGCATTCTTCATGTCAGCACTACATGGATGATGTCATCTGCTGCTGCCAGACTGAAAGGCAGCAAGCTCCCTTAGATTTTGGCTGGCATCACTTCCCAGTGCTGTGTGGCTAAACTACAGTAAATACATTCCTAATATATAAAAACTGTAATAATACACTTGAAAAATTGTTGTAGGACCATTCCTATGGGGCTGGCTGTGTAGCACATACTTTCTTTTTTTTCTTTGAGATAGGGTTTCTCTGTGTAATGGTCTTGGCTGTCCTGGAACTAGCTTTTGCAGAGCAGGCTGAGATCCTCCTGTCTCTGCTTCCTGAATGCTGGGATTAAAGGCATGTGGTGTGGAAGGTCCTTCTGTCTATGCATTGCTTTTATTGGTTAATGAATAAAGAACTGCTTTGGACCAATGGCAGGGCAGAACAAAACTAGGCGGGGAAAGCTAGACTGAATGATGGGAGGAGGAAGGTGGAATCAGAGAGAAGCCATGGAGCTGCCAGAGACAGACGTGCTGAAACTTTGCTGGTAGGCCATGATTACTTGAAATGGGTTAAATTAAGATGAAAGAGTTAACCAATAAGAAGTTAGAGCTAATGGGCCAAGCAGTGTTTTAAATAATATGATTTTTGTGTGACTATTTCCAGTCTAAGCTAGCTGGGTGACTGGAAACCAACAAGCAGCACCCTTCTCCAACAAGCATGTGTCACCACTGCCTGGCATGTGGTTGAATACTTTTAATCCTAGCATTCAGGAGATAGATGTGGGTGTATCTCTGAGTTTGAGGTCAACCTGAACAACATAGCAAAACAAACATATTGAGTCACGTTGGAATTAATATTTTTTTTAACCTCAGTTCCCATCAGTGTTACTCAGCATCATTAACCTAAAGTACTATAGCTATCTTTGCCATTATTTTATCAATATCATTTTATATTGCTACTGTTATTATACTAAACACACAAATAATTTTACTTATTTGACATGAGTATAAATTGTAATATATTACATTAAACCATGGAAGAAAAGGAGAAATCGTAAAAATCTTGATGTACTTCAGGTAAATTTTCCTTATTACCATAGTTGTCCATCAGAGGATATTAAGCTGGGAATCCTATTAAGTAACAGAATTGTGGGAAAGAAGTCTACCAGAGGTTTTGTTTTGAAGATAACTTAAAATGTTGAATAATGGATCTCTCAAAATACTCATGTCTATTAATAATTCTACACAGTTGGATGAACTATTTGGTAAAGTATATCCAATAACTATTCAAATAACTATATTAAGGTCTATAACAAGTTATTTTTATTTTAGAAACTCTCTCATGTATGCTGTGAGATGTGATTCATCGGAAATGGTCAACCTTATTCTTCAACAAGGTGTTGACATCAATTTTGAAGATTTATTTGGATGGACTGCTTTACATTATGCTATTGAAGGTGATCGTGAGGTGTAAGTAATTCTAATTAATATTAATTATTTCAAATAATTACACCAAGTGATATTTCATTGTTAGTTTAGGTACTTTTGAAATGGAATGGAGTTAGTTCACCTCATCAGCTAGAAACCAAGAAAAATGATGGATTATTTAGAAGTAGAAATGGTGTGGGAAATTTTAATCCCAAGACAAGTTTCATTTTTAATAATGGGACTGAATACAGGGCCTGTACCATTGAGTTACATTGTTAACCTGTGTGTTAACCTCTGTCTCAGGAGTTTGAAGGCCTTCATACTTAGGAATTCCAGAATGATTCCTTTAGTTTTGAACACAACCCTTGGGCATCAGACGCAGTGTCACATCTTGATTTTTTTAATTATTCATTTTAGTCTTATAACGTCCATTTTAACAGAAAATCCCAGGAAGTTGTCTTCTACACATTGCTACTTGAAATTCCAGAACACCAGCTAGTTCTATAAGTACAAGTGCGTCAACCCTCTCTTACAAGTCAGAGGAGGAAAGGAAGAAATTCTAGTCATGACTTCTTTTCCTTGTTGATTCTGTTGTTACAGTTTTGTTATTAGCGGATCCTACAGTCCAGTAATGACCAACAGCTAGCCCTTGATTGCCCTTATTGATTAAGATCTCTAAGTTTTTGTGGTAATAGTCACATAATCATTAGAACAGTTTCTTCATTTCATATGTTCTTTTTAAGTTAGGATGTTGTGGTGGTTTAAAAGAAAATGGCTCCGAAATGAGTGGCACTATTAGGAGGTGTGGCCTTGTTGGAAGAAGTGTGTCACTGTGGGGGTGGGCTTTCAGGTCTCTTTTGCTCAAGCTTCCCCCCAGTGTGACAATTAGTTGACTTCCTGTTGCCTGTAAGATGTATGTAAAAGGAGCAGTGGGCTGCTTCCCGCCGCCCGGCTAGCTTTACCCGAAATAATTACACGGAAACTATATTCTTTCAAACACTACCTGACCCATTAGTTCTAGCCTGTTATTGGCTAACTCTCACATCTTGACTAACCCATTTCTAATAATCTGTATGCCACCACGAGGTCATGGCTTACTGGCATGGGTCTAGCCAGCGTCTGTCTTGGAAAGGGGAATCATGGCGTCTTCCTGACTCTGCTTCTTTCTCCAAGCATTCTGTTCTGTCTACTCCACCTATCTGAATTCTGCCCTATCAAAAAGCCAAGGCAGTTTCTTTATTAACCAATGAAAGTAACACATAGACAGAAGGCCCACCTACTCCAGATGTAGGCCTCTCAACTACCTCTCCACAACATCTACCTGTGCACTATTATGCTTCCCAGCATGATGATAGTAATTGTACCTCTGACATTGTCAATGAGCCACCCCAATAGTTGCCATGGTCATGGTGTTTCTTCACCACAATATTATTGCAAAAGTGCTCTCTACTTTAACAGTGTCTTAGTTAGGGTTACTATTGCTGTAAAGAGACACCATGACCATGGCAACTCTTATAAAGGAAACATTTAATTGTGGTGGTTCATTTACATTTCAGAGGTTCAGTCCATAATGGCAGGGAGCATGGTAACATGTAGGTAGAGATGGTGCTGGAACTGAGAATGCTACATTTTGCAGACAACAGGAAGTTGCCTGACACACTGGGTGGTATCCTGAGCATAGGAAACATCAAGGCCTCCCCCCCCACATTGACACATTTCCTCCAACAAAGCCATACCCACTCCAACAAAGCTACACCTCCTAATAGTGCCACTCCCTGTGAGATTATGGGATTATGGGGGACGATTACATTCAAACTACTACAAACAGCTAAGAGTGATAGTTTTACCCCTACCCATCAACAGTAAACTGACTTCCTATCTATTCACAACTTTTATTTGCAGTCAACATGTGTACCTAAAGCTTTATGCTTTGTTACCTAAGAGAATTTTAGCTCTTCTTCCATCAAATATGTGTTGTTATCCCTCCAAAAAATCAGCTAGTGTCCAATAATTTTACAAGACAAGACTAAAGGTTCTTTTCTTCTTTGACAATAAACAGAAACTCCTTTATAGTCTGAACAGCCCCATTTCTGAATGGGCCAAACCTACATCACTTTTTTCATGAAAACTTGATTGGCCACTAGAGTTTTTATATATATAAATGAAAATCTTCCAAGGTATGTGAATTTGTTCCTCAACATTTCAATATATTTTCAAATTTTGCCTCACAAATAAGCCACCAAACAGAAGATGACCTGTATTTGCAGGCATGAGTCCCATTGTGTCTTCTCAATAGTGCACATGTATAAAATGATTCCATCTTCCAAACCAGTTGGTGATTGTCGTGACTTGAATAAAAAATATCTCTCTTAGTCTTAGACATTTGGACACTTGGTAGCCAGTAGCTCATCAAGCCTAAAGTGGTGCAGTCTTGCAGGAGGAAATATGTCACTGAGGGTGGGCTTTGGGATTAAAATCTTCATGTGACTTCCAATTCACTTCCTCTGTTTCATATTTATATTTAAAGATGTGAACTCTCGGCTTCCTCCTCCTGTCCCCATGCTTGCTACTTGCTGCTTTCATGCTTCCCTGACATGATGGATTCTTTTTTTTGTATATGTATGTATGTATGTATGTATATATATTCTTTTATTGAAAATAGATTCTTTTCTCATATAATATATCCTGATTACTGTTTCTCATTCCTCTACTCCTTCTAGTTCCTTCCCACCTTGTCTTCCTTCTGTATTTACTCCATTTCTGCCTCTCATTAGAAAAAAAACAGGCTTCTAAGAGACAACAACCAAACATGAAGAAACAAGATTACTATATTTTATATTATAAAAATATTACAAATTATAAAACAAAATGATGTTATCAAAGTTTGGCACAGCAGTCCTACAGAAGGAAAAGAGTCCTAAGAGCAGGCACAAAAGTCAGAGACCCACTCATTCTCACAGTTAGGAGTCCCATAAAAATACTAAGCAAATAGCTATTCTATATATGCAGAGGACCTAGTGCAGACCCACGCAGGCCCTGTGCTTGCTGCTCCAGTCTCTGTGAGCTCATAAATACCTTGTTTAGTTGCTGCAGAGGGCACTGTTCCCCTGGTTGTTCTTCTCTCCCTCTGCCTCTCACAAGCTTTCTACCTACTCTTCGCAGGATTCCCTAAGCTCTGAGGGGAGGGATTTGGATAGTTATAGCTGTGATTCTCTGCATCTGTTCCAAACCATAATGAATTCATTCCTTTGTATCCAGAAGTCAATTAAATAAATAAACTCTTCCTTTTGTCAGTTGCCTCAGTTATAGTATTTTATCACCGCATCAGAAAAATCACTAACACCGTGACAGCCATGAAACCTAGGCATCCTTGTAACAGTGGTCTGTGGATTAAGATTGGATTTGGCAAAGCAGAAGTATTTAGGTTTTGTAATTTAATAGTTTTAAAAAGTAATAAATAATCATTTTACTAATTTAAGAAAAATTTACATTAATCTGAATTTTAGTTTTAAACTATTCAGCAGCTATTATTGTCTAAGCTGTAAACCGCACATAACTGAACAGCTAGTAAACACGCTCACCCTTCACGTTTGCTGAAAGCTAGAATATTGGAGCATTAGTTTCTGTGAAGAAAAATATATGTAGGTTTCATTTTGATTTTCAAAGTGATTCACTGTTAAGATACAAATTATTCTATTACTTTTCTGTTTTTCTATTATTATTTTTATATTGTTAAGTCTTCATAGTAACTTGGTGACTTAAAGCAAGAAAGTCCTTATTTTTTTTTAGAAGTCTATTTTATCATAAGAGAAACCCTGTCTAGAAATAACTGTTGGTTATGAAGTTAGGACTACATCAGATGCCATGATACTTCCCATTTTGTCAAGATGACCTAGTATATGTGTTGACTTTGATTCATCACCATTTCTTCATTATTCCTTAACCTAATTGTTTCATAAGATATATTCAAGTTCACAATTTTGATGACTATACCAAAACACCCTGATACTAATTGAAACACTCTTAATATTTTAATTTGGCATGGTTTTATACCAATGTTAAAGTAATGGCTGCATGTACCACACTTTTTTGTATGACAGGAGGACAATACTTTTGGAGTATGAGTATAACCTAGTACAAAGCTTAACAGAGAAAAAATCAGGTAAGACATTTCTTGGTAGTTGTATTCTAGATGAAAATGCTAGACTAAGAAAGTTCTAATTCTAAAAGAAAAGTTTTCAATACCAACTGTAAATTGCATTGTTTTCCTAGTTTAGAGTTCAGAATTATAAAGAAATTTATTATATGGAATTTTCAATCTGAAACAGTGTTTTGAGAAAAATGGATTACTAATTTTGGCACTTAAAATCCTTTAAATGTCCTTGTATATATAAGAAAAAGATTCTCAAAATTAGTATATCATATGTCACAGTAATCATCACATTGCAGCAAATTGGGCATGTTATAAAATATGTTTTTAATTGTTTATAAGAATATATCACATTACATAGTTGAACATTGTTTACTTAGTTATATGTATCACTAAAGTGAATAATGTTAAAGCATTTTATTGTTTTTGTTTCCATGGTCTTAGTTTAGAGACTTCTATATCTTCAAGCTATGCAGTCTAGACTATCACACTCATTTACTGTTTCTGTGCTTTAAAATATTTTTTCCTAATATTTGCACATGAATGTAATGTGCTTTTATCAAACATACTCCCATTTCTTCTACTCCAATTCCTCACCTATAACACCCATAACTTTTCCCTTCCAGCTTCATGTGCTTTCCTTCCCTCTTTCCCTATCCAATGAGCCCATTCCATGCTGCCTGCATATGCATGGATGTGGTACCATCTACTAGGCATGGGTAGCTTCTCAGGGTCAACATCCTCGAGGAAAACCAACTCTTCCTCCACAAGAAGCCATAAACGCCAATAACTCCTCAGGTAGGAGTGGACCTATACACGATCAAGTCTGTCATTTTTAAATGTCTCCATTTCATGTAACTAACTCTTGTTATAATACACAGAAATACTAGGTTGGCCAAATATATATTAGTTTTAAAAAATCATTAACTCTACTAGGTACTGTTAGGAATTGAATTTAGAGCCTTGCACTAGGCAAGTGCTCGCTAATCCACAGTCAGTGGTTTTCAATCCTCTTTATGCTGCAACCCTTTAATTCAGTTCCTTATGTTGTGGTGACCTCCAACCATAGAACTGTTTCGTTGCCACTTCATAACTATAATTCTGCTACTGTTATGAATCATAACATATTAACCTGGGGCCTTCCAAATGATAAGCAAGTACTCACGGACTGACGCCAAATCCCCAAACCCCAGGTAATGTTTCCCATAGCTTATGTTGTTTTTTCCACACTTTACAAGGAGCAAAAAAAAAATCACATTTAATTTGTCCCACTAGGGAGAGCCAACTGTGGTCACATTCTGAAAACTTGAGAGAGATGGCGGGTATGTCTGTAATTTATATTTGATTGTCCATGTCCTTCATCCTTGGTAGTTGCACCTCCCTCCTAGCCTCAGTACTTGTTTGCAAACTTTCCTCTTACTATCAGCTGTGGTTTGAGGATATATATATATATATATATATATATATATATATATATATATACTCTTAAAATTTTAAAAGAGTTATTTATTTTATTTTATATGTATGTTCGGCTAGAATGTGTATCTGTTCACCATGTGCATGCAGTGTCCACAGAGGCCAGAAGATGGCATTAGATCCCCTGGATCTGGCATTATAAATGATTGTGAGCTGCCATGTGGGTGCTGGGAATTGAACTCTGGTCCTCTGGAGGAGCGTCCACTGAGACATATCTCCAGCCTCAAATAGACTCTTAAGGGTTCAGTCATTCTGGTAGTTCCTTCAATGGGAGGCAAAATATCCAGTGACATTCAATCTTGTTTGCACCAAAGGAAATATGAAGGAGACAGTGAAAGCTGAGTGAGTTTTTAGCATCTTTTAGAAGAGGATTAGAATGATTGGGTCTCACATTTCTTCTCGTGATCTCTTTTCCACTGGCAGCCAGGAATGTTTGCATGGCCCTGCCAGTTTATGGGAAGAAGCTGATCCTGTGGCTGACTCCATGTTCTGTCAGGCTGTTGCTCTCAGCTGGGATTATAGTTGTTATAACACGGCAATCTACTTTAAGGCATCACATTTTGATAAACTCCATTCTTCTTATACACGATAAGACAAAGGGAAATAACTTTCAATACACTGCTTGCCTACAGTGACATAATTCATATGCACTGTAGAAAGTTCCCATGCTTCCCTGCTGCACTTCTAATGCTTGGCATTATCATGTTATCTGCACAAGGTAAATTGTGTCTTTGCGCTGATAGCACTTCAGAGTTCTGAAAATAGCTCTTCAATCAGGTAGGATTTGTAAATTTAAAAAAGAATGTCAGGTGATCATAGAATGCAATGAAAGGAAACTTTGTGTTGCTGTGCTTTGTCTTTGATTCCATATTGTATGTTCAGTGCATGTTTATTATAGTCATCATGACAGTCATGCAAAGAGACCTGTGCTGTTATAACTTATTTCTTTTTACTAATTAAGCAACTATCATTCAGAGTTTAATTGTTCCATCAAGTCACAATCAACAAGTACCCAGCCCATGATGTAAATGTCAAACTATGTGATTCTATAATGAATTATCTTGATTTTCTTCATAGACTGAGAAACACCTGTATAACACAGGAGCAAGAAATAGATCCATATAAAGTCAATTCAGAAAATAAATTATGATTTTATGTTAAATTGTTTTAGGGTTTGTCTAAGAAACACAGCTATAATGAGAGAATGCGTCTTAATACTTAAAAAAAAAATACTGTCAAAAAGTGTCTTTTGTTGCACCAAAGGTTTGAGGGCAGATCTCAGTTAACTGTGGCTACAAAATCACATGTAATACACAGCAAGATGGAGAAGTATGTGAGAGGGATGCTCTATTGAAACTGTCTTTGCAACATCGTCCACCTAAAGGAGTTCAAGTTTGTTTTATCCACCCTCTAATTTTCTCAGTCTGGCTTTTGTTTCAAACACTCATCTGAACCTAGGAAAATGAAGTTTCCTTATCTTATTTTTTTCTACAACTACATTCTTTTCTGATTTTTCAGTCCTCCTTGCTTTTTAGTTTTTCTATTTTTACTTTGGTTCATGCCTCTTTTTAATGATCATAAGGAAAAATAAAAGCATAAGGATTCCAGGATTTTAAAATATCTTAGGAAACTAATAAAGAGGCCTCTAGCTCATGAAGCTGAGCTCATGCCACAGAGCAAATGATGGCTGTAGTGAAGAATCTTCGACTTACAGATAGTAAAGGAGCCTCTCTGGATAAAGGAAACCTACAAGTTATCTTAATTCTAAGGTCAGCACCTTTCTTTATCAGTTAATGGGTGAGTGTTTTTTCTTTAATAATAGAATGTATCAGTGAGTCTAGTCTTCCCATTGCAAGAAGAATGAAATTAGCAAATGATCCCAATGGCAGAGAATAAAAATGAAATTAACAGGGCAAAGCAAGTTTGGGAAGTATCAATACTGGGCCTGGTTCAAAGTGACAGGAATTTAGAGTAGAGATCAGGATCCTGGGGTTTATGATAGGTCTGATACCAATAACACAAAACAGGACATTGGAAATTCCATATAAAGACATTTGAACGTCAGTATTACTGGCTTCATAGGAGTCTGGAAGTGCTCCTTCAGTTTCTATTTTTAAAAAATAACTTAAGAAGTATTAGTTGTAGATCTTTGAAGAATTCTGCTGAGAATCCAGGGATCTTTTTATGGAAGGGCTATACTGCTTTAATTTCCTCATTTGCTATGGTCTGCTTAGGGTGTTGATCTCTTAGCTTAACTTTGGCTTTTGTGAATCTATAAATTCATCCATTTCTTCTAGATTTTTCTACCTTAATGAAGTGCAGGTTTTAAAAAATTCTTTTATACTATGAATTTCTTTGATGCTTGTTGAGGTCTCCAATTCTGTTAGTTTAGGTAATCTCTTTCTGGATAGTTGGGCCAAAGGTCTTGCGATATTGTTTATCTTTTCAAATAACCAGCCCTTAGATCATCTGGGATAACTCTTGGTTGTTTTCTTTGTTTCTATCACTAATTTCCATTCCGATTTTTATCTTTTTTTTTTTGCCATGTTCTGTATTTGGGTTTGTTTTATTCTTGTTTTTCCACATTTTTGAACTGCTCCTAGAATCATTTACTCATGGTCTTTCTGGCTTTTTAATGTAGGGATGCAGAGCTGCGCATGTCTCTTCTAGGGATGCCTTTAATGCGTCTCAGAGGTGTGGTGTCTTTGTTACTTTCATTTGGTTCCCAGGAACTTAAAAAAATGTCTCTTTTTCTTCTTTGACGTATTCATCATTCAATAGTGTGTTTTTACGTTGCTATGCATTTCTGGAATTACTGGCTAGTATTTGTTAGTGAGTTTAAGCTTTATAGCATTGTGTTTCAGATAGGATACAAGGTGTTATTTAAGTTTTTCTGTATTCATCAAGATTTGTTTTACATATCAGAATATTGTCTGTTTTAGAGATGCTTCTGTGGATTTCTGAGAAGAATATATTCTTTGGTATTAGGGTGAAATAGTCTCTAGTTATCTGTTCAGTCTATTTGATGTATGACGTCATTTAATCTAGACATTTCTTATTTTTTCCAGATGACCTATTTATTAGAGAAAGTGGGACATTGAAATCTATTCTTATTGAATTGGAGTCTATCTATGTCTTTGATTCTAGTAGTGTGTTTTTTGTGAAACTGGCTGTACCAGATTTTGGTTCATATATATTTAGGATTGTAATATCTTCTCATTAATTGTTTCCTTTATTAAAAGAAGTGCCCTTTTTATCTATTCTGATTAGTTTTAGTTTGAAGTGTATTTTGTCAGATATTGGGATAGTGACACCTGCTTTCCCCTGGTCCCATTTGCATGCAACACTGTTCACCCTTTCACTTGAAGGTGCTGTCTGTCTTTAATGCTAAGATGAATTCACATTCAGCTAACATTTGTCTTTTTTGGGAGAGTTGAGGCCACTGATATTTAAAGTTGTTTTTGAAAGGAGTGTCTTGACTGTAGCTGTGCTTTCTCTCTCCTCTCTCTGTACGTTATTAGTACTAGTTTGTGTTT